CTCTATTTCTTTGCAATGATCACTGAGGAAGGCCTTCTTATGTCTCCTTGCTATTCTTTGGAACTCTGCATTCAAATGAGTGTATTTTGGCATTCAGAAAAGGTATATCTTTCCTCCTCTCCTTTGCCTTGAGCTTCTCTTCTTTTCACAGCTATTTGTAGGCCTTCTCAGACAACCATTTTGCCTTTTTGTATTTCTTTTTCTTGGGGATGGTCTTGATCCCTTCCTCTTGTACAATATCATGAACCTCTGTCCATAGTTCTTCAGGCACTCTATCAGATCTAATCCCTTGAATGAATTTGTCACTTCCAGTGTATAATTGTAAGTGATTTGATTTAGGTCATACCCGAATGGCCTGGTGGTTTTCCCTACTTTCTTCAATTTCAGTCTCATTTTGGCAATAAGGAGTTCATGATCTGAGCCACAGTCAGCTCCCAGTCTCGTTTTTGCTGACTGTGTAGAGCTTCTCCATCTTTGACTGCAAAGAATACAATCAGTTGATTTTGGTATTTACCATCTGGTGATGTCCATGTGTAGTCTTCTCTTGTGTTGTTGGAAGAGGGTGTTTGCTATGACCAGTGCGTTCTCTTGGCAAAACTCTGTTAGCCTTTCATCTGCTTCATTTTGTACCACAAGGCCAGATTTGCCTGTTACTCCATGTGTCTCTTGACTTCCTAATTTTGCATTCCAGTCCCCTATAATGAAAAGGACATCTTTTTGGGGTGGTAGTTCTAGAAGGTCTTAAATATTCTTAACAATGGAAAAAAGAAGAAACAGGATCTTTTCCCTCCATAAATAGCTGGAAAGTTGGAATGCTTTTTTTTTTTTCCTTTCCCATGTTCCTTTTTAGTGATGTTTTACATTTTTACTTTCTGTATAAAGACTTATTTTAAAATTTTAAACTTATTTATTTTCTAACCATTTTTTATAACAGCTGTATCATGTTCTAGTGATCTTATTGCTTAATATTAGTCACTTTATACTATGACTTTTCCGTGGTGAAGGAATTTCATTCATTTTTTTAATAATCTGAAATGTATCTGAGTGATGGTTTCTGAGATTTTATACACATAAGAATATCTTTTGTTTCCTGTAACCAAAGTAATAATTTAGCTGGATACTGAATTCTTACACTGAAACCTTTTCTCCTAAAAGGTTCATAGATTCTCCTCCATTTTCTTTAGTAATCATTGTTGCAGAAAACAGGTCTAAACAAAACTGAATTTTCCTCTTTGTCTGAAATTCATACTTTTAACCCAGTTAAAGTTAAATGTTAGTCATTTTTTCATTAACTTTGCCTTATCTTGGGTTAACCTATTTGATATGAAGACATGTTTGAAAGAAGAGGNTTTTTTTTTTTTTTTTTTTTTAGAATTCTTTAAGTTTAATATATTCTGAATTCTTCTCCACTAATACCTATATTGTATAGGTTTAATATCTGATGTCCTGATGTGACAAATGTTTAACTTTTCTCTCATAAATTTTGTCTTACCCTTCCTCTATATACTAGGAGATTTTCTCAACTTAGTCCTTTCTAATACAATTTGATTTTCTACAATATTCAGTCTCCTTTTTTCTGCTTTTAAGACAGAGTTTAATTCTACTACTGAATCTTTCATTTCATTGCCTCTCATTTGGCTCTCTATTCATATCAATTTAAAACTCTGTTTCTTCTCTTACCAGCTGTGTGACCTTAGTTATGATACTTAACCTCTCTGTTCTCCATTTTTCTCACCAATAAAAAAAGGATAATAATTATTCCCACAGAATAAAATTAGATTATCCTTAGAAACTTTTAGATAAGTTTCTAGCCCATAGAAATGTGCCAGTAAATTTAAACTGCTACTATTATTATGATCATCACCATCACCATCATTATCTCTGCCTGTATCTCAGCAATGTTCCTTTCCTTCAAGCTGTTGTCATCTCACTTCTGTGTGTGTGTGTATGTCTGTGGAAGTCATATTTTATTAAAATTTGGGGAAGTACAATACAGACACTCTAAAATGTATTTGTGCTGTAAATCTTTTTAAAAAATCTCTTCACCTTGTGTACATTTACTGTTTATGTGGTAGAATATTTTCACAATCCACTTACTGCTGAGGTTCATTTTTCTATTTATATCTCCTTGTACAAGGAGAGCTCTCTTGACTGGAGACATGAGTTGTCTTTTGTTCCCCTAAATTTTGACTTGGGAGCTGTAGGATCCTCCTGTAGATCCTGAATCAGAGTCACATTGCTGCTGACTGGCTGTTATTCAGCAAAGGGTGTAGGACCGCATTTAAGTCTGTTCTCCCACCGCTCCTGTCTGACTGCCCCCTCTGCATATGGGAATGTATTCCGGGATAATTTGTTGCTGCTCAATTCAGTGCATCCATCCCTTGCTCAAAATACCGGGTGAAAAATTCAGTCCCTGAATTGCATTATCTCATCACTCTCTTGTCTTCCTTTGTATTTCTGAACCATTTTCCAGATGAAAGATGCCATAAGTTGCCCAGTTCTACAACTCAATTGCTGTGAGTTGTAGCCCCTAATTTGATATATGAAAAGAAGTATTAGGTGACTGGGGCTCATGCAAACCTGGCTCTTTCATTTTGGGAGAGTTGCTGTCCGGCCTGGATGATAGGTAAAAGTCATACAAGCAAGTGTGTGGAAATGTCTTACTTTCTTCCTGCTTGCTTATATATTCTGTTTTAAAGTCTCATCACACTAATGGAACCACCCTAGGGGTCTGACAACAGGTCGAGTGATCTTCTGTAAAACTGTTGACATTTTGCATCTGTACATGTGTTTTTTTTCACTGTTTCAAGGAAAATTGAAAGAAACTGAATTAGGCTCTAACAGATAGCTTTTTAATTTACCAATTTAAAAAAAACCTTTGATGATAATAGAATCATGGAATCCAAGAGGTATTAGACCAAAACTCAGATTTTATAGTTGAAGAGACTCTTTTGTAGGCACATTGCCTGACTTGTCTGAGGTCAGACAGAGGCCAGAACCAGGTCAGTGCTTTTGTCCTTCTAGCGCCTTGCTCATTGGGGAAAAAAAAATTGAGCTATTCTGACAAATATAGATTCTTCAAATCAAGATCTTTCACACAGCCATTTCTTAAACAGCAAGGAGTCTCTTCTATGTGGAAAAATAGAGAACAGTGTAACTTATATGCAGAGTACATCATGAGAAAGGCTGGGCTGGATGAAGCACAAGCTGGAATCAAGATTGCTGGGAGAAATATCAATAATCTTAGATATGCAGATGACACCACCCTTATGGCAGAAAGTGAAGAAGAACTAAAGAGCCTCTTGATGAAAGTGAAAGAGGAGAGTGAAAAAGTTGGCTTAAAACTCAACATTCAGA